AAAAGACAGGAGCTATTAACTCATGGTGAAGACTGACCTCTCTGTGTGTGTATGATGACAACATAAGGTCCCCCTTGCAGGGTTAAGTGACTAGTGGCCAGGTCACCCGCACCCACACGAGCTGTACTGTGCTGCCCAGGTGCACCTCGCCTGGGAAAACATGGTAGAGTTGGCCCTGGCAGCATGGACTTGGGAGAGCACACCCCAAGAGCATGAGAGCAGAAGATCCTGGCCCCATCCCTTGCCAACTACACCAGTAGGGAGAGGGGGTCCTGCCCCCTCTCCAGGGCAGTGCTGGAGACCTGGCTTTGGTGGTGTGGGAGAGCTGGCTCATAGCATGTGGATAGGACAGCTGGCCCCACCCTAGCAAACTACCACAGGCAGAAGAGCAGGACAAAGCAGGACCTGGTGGCATGGGTGTAGGAGAGCTGGCAGGCTAACCCCCCCCCCAAGTTAGCACCCAGGCACAGATCCCAAGGCTTTGAATTGGGCCACGCCAACATCTATGGGCCATCTACCCATCTATGATCTGCTGGAGCATGTGAAGGGCCAGTCCAGCAGACCCAAACCTGTGGGATCTCCATGACACACGACTAAGACAGGACATCCAAGAGAAGTCCCTGTGAGAGCCTGGTATGGCTAGTGTAACAGAAGCCAGAAGCCTCGAACCAGACCAATGACTCATTGCAATGAACACTGGCAAGTAAAGCTGTTTGGGCAAACTGGGAGACTCACCATGACTTACCAAAACATTTATGAAGAGATATTTTGTTGTTGTTGTTAATTTTCATTTTTATGGCTTTTATCATTTTTGTTTTCTTTGGGGGGGGGGAGTTACAAGGGCAGAGGCAGACCTGAGTGGGGTTAGGGTGCATGGTATAAAATTCACAAAGAATCAATAAAAATGTGTGTGAGTGGCTTATTGCTGAGCTGAATCAGGAAGGATATTAGCAAACACGTCTTGGCTCTCCTAGTTCTTTAGAAGAGCCAACGCCCTCTTCAATCCCATTCCTACCCACTTTCTTCCCCGTTCCTTAGAGGAAACTCTCTCCATCTTGGACTAAAGTTCTCCCAGCCACTGTCAAGTGTCATATGGACATTTGCAGAAATGAACAAAGTCAGGACTGAGTCCCTTCTGATAGAAATTGTCACTGTCCTTCACAGCTGGGTCTGACTGAGACTTGCCAACCAAGGGGGAAGGCAGTAGGAGTGGAAGGAGTGGACTTCGTTCCTGCTCTTCACAACCACACACACCCTTCCTCTCCACTCCACATGCAACTATGTGTAGTGGGATATTCACTTTGTCTCCTTCTGTGGCACTGGCCACGCCCATTGGGGGTGGAGCCAGGGATGGAAGTGACCTGGGTTACTAGGTCTGAGGAGGAGCAGGGGAATGCTCTCTTGCAAGCTGCATGGGGACAGGAGGACTTCCGGTGGCATTCTTGGAAGCAGGAACCTGCTGGTGTTCACCTGTCTATGTTGTGAGTCATTTCTCCCTGAATAAACATCTATTCGGTCTAATTGTTTATCCAGATCCTTATTAAACCACAATAACTATAGAGCTGGCAGAAGAGAAAGACCTTGCTTGACTATTGGGAGTGACAGGAGCCTAATGTTAGTTCATCAACAGGGGACCCTCATGGGACTCTAAATACCATTGTATCTCACTGGGCCCCACACCCACACTGGACAGATCTTCCTCTAAGTAGGATCCACCAAAATAACCAATCAAATAAATTATAGGTCTTATTGTAACTGACAGCAAGCAGACAGCCTTCATCCTCCACTATAGATCCAATCCTTTGTGCTTCTCAGCCTTGGGATGTTCTCACTGCATCTGTCTTTTAGCAAGTGCCCAAGAGGTATGTCCTCTGCACCGTGGGCATGATGAGCTGGATGACATCCTTAAGTAGGATAGGGCTGTAGGTCTTCTGGCCACTGCAGGAATTAACTACACCAAGAGATCTTCTCCCAGTAGTAAAAACAAAAAGAAAGAAAAAAGAAGGGAGGGAGGGAAGAAGAAAGGGAGGGAGGGAAGAAGGGAGGGAGGGAAGAAGAACAGGAGGGAGAAATTCAATCCTCTAGAGGGCAGAAGTTCCCCGTGGTTGGGAAGAACCAATGTAGACTGTCCCAGGGAAAAACTGTCAATGGTTTCCAAGTCCCTGGAGATACCTGAGGGTCCCTGGGCCAATCAATGGCCAGGAAGCACTACCTCTCCCTCCCCTTCACACTCACTGTTCCCAGAATCATCCCATATTTTATTTGTAGGCTGGAATGGAGACAATGGACAACAATGGCGGTCCTGTACAATTAGTCATTTCCGTTTTACAAGGTGGACATGTTTGGATATTTATTGCAAGACATGTTCATTTTGCACACATTGTGAAGGTGTTGACTATTAAGGTCAAGTACATATTAAGTAATTAAAAATTACTTTCTCAATATGACATTGAGAAAAATGTACTGACTAAGAAAGCATCATAAGCTTGTGGGTAAAGTTACACTTTTGAGGAGGGACCTACAGAGAAATGGCCCGCTATTGCAGTTTAATAAGGATCAGGATAAACAATTAGGCCGAACAGATATTTATTCGGGGAGAAATAACTCACAACATAGACAGGTGAGCACCAGCAGGTTCCTGCTCCCGAGGATGCCTCAGGAAGTCCTCCTGTCCCCTGCTGCCAGCAAGAGAGGGTTACCCGCTCCCCCTCAGACCTAGTTCCACAGGTCACTTATGCCCCTGGCTCCACCTCCCCAATGGGCGTGGTCAGTGCCACAGAAGGAGACAAAGTGAATATCCCACTGACAGCCTGCCCTGAATGTGGATGTCAGTTAGGAGGCCTGGGCAGTCTATGGGGCCTCTAACAGTGGAACCAGTATTTATCCCTAGTGTACAAATGGATTTTGGGAGCCAGGTACCTATAGAAGGATACTGCCTCCGCCTAGACACACAGGAGAGGGCCTAGGCCCTGCCCCAAATGATGTGACAGACTTGGATGATCCCCCATGGAAGGCCTCACCCTCCCTGAGAAGTGGATGGGAGGTGGGATGGGGAGTTGGTGGTAGGAAGGAGAGGGAGAGGGGACTGGGATTGATATGTAAAACAAGATTGTTTCCGATTTAAATTTGAAAAGAGAGGGAGAATAACTTGTAAGAACGTAAATGATTTGACACTTTATAAATTAACTGATTTGACACCTTCCTGGTCTTTTCTTTGTTGGAATAAGCAGATTATAACAGCCAGTGGTCAGAGAAAGAATAATAGCATAACTTTTTTGTATTCATTTTAGTCCACATTAACCGCCTCTGAGAAGGTATTTACATATATAAATGTTTACAATAAAGGGGTGTCTTGATTCTATTTCAAGGTAGGAACTCTAAGCCAATGGAGAACAAGGCACACAATTCAATAATATTTTATTATCAATAGCACAGAAAAACAGTCACCATTTGGGCCTTCAGAAGAAAGAAGACCTTATTTACAATAAGTGGCAATGGATTAGGGGGGGGCATTTAAGAGAGACTACAGCAAGCTGAGCATTGGGGGTGCATGCCTTTAATCCCAGCACTCGGGAGGCAGAGGGAGGAGGATCTCTGTGAGTTCAAGACCAGCCTGGTCTACAAAAGCTAGTTCCAGACAGACTACAGTAAATACTTCCTTCTGGGGGTGAGTTAAAACGCTAGCTTAGGTTGCAATACAACTTACTTACCAGAATCATTTTATAAATTATTTGTGTCGGCTATCAAATAGCTAGATTTGAAAAAAATAATTTTTGCCAAAGGATCATGGGTACTTAAATAGTTCTGTTTGTATTTTCTGAAGGTTTGGGGTCCCTTCCCTTTCCCCCTGTCACATTAGACAAAAAGGAAAGTTCCTGCCACAGCCACAAAACTCTTTTACCAAGAGAATCCCTGTAGATTTTAAATTGCTGGTGCTGGAGATGTCTAGAACCTTATGATCTGGCTAGATGCCCTGCCAACAACAGCACCACCCAAATGACCAGGTATGGCAGCTAGGAAAAAGAAAGCCAATGAACTACCCCCCAGGGTCTTAGTCTTCAGCTAAAATGGGCCCAGAATTCTTTATTCAATGCTCCAAGATCTAGAATGAGCTGACAACTTACTCATCTTTTTTTTTTTTTTTTTTTTTTTTTTTTTGGAAAATATTTGATCACTTGTGAAATATCTTTATGTACCTACTTTGTATGAATAGTCTATATTTTGGCAGAAATATTAAAGTATTGGTTTACAGGCTGAGCTGGGAGGTGGTGGCACATGCCTTTAATCCCAGCACTCAGAAGGCAAAGTATGATGGATCTCTTTGAATTGAGGCCAGCTTTGTCTACAGTGCGAGTTCCAGGAGAGACTCCAAAACTACAGAGAAACCCTGTCTCCAAAAAAAAAGAAGAAAGAAAGAAAGAAAGGAAGAAAGAAAGAAAGAAAGAAAGAAAGAAAGAAAGGAAAAGAAAAAGGTGTATGTGTGAAGGGTTTACAGCAGGGTGATATTTCAGATTGTATTTGTAGAGTTCCATAATATATAGTATTTACAACATATCATCTTTCTAAAAAATCCCACTAAGATCTTGAAAAAAAACAGTTTCTCTGGGTTTAACATGAAGACTTCTGGACCCACAGCATTATGACACATACAGAAATTTCACTGGAAAACGATACTCTTGTGGGTCCCATACTCTAGAGTTTCTTAAGGCATTAAAAAAGTGAAAATGTCTAGAACATGTTGGCAGAAGTTACTCTATCTCAGTGAAGAAAAGTGAAGTTCCAAGGACAATACCCTCCACATTACAGTTATAGGAATTCCCTTGAACTGCACTTCCATCACTAGCTCTAGATGTTTTGACAAATGAAGAACACACATTCTCTGCTAAGGTGATTCTGTTTCATTACAAATATGTGCCATTTTCTTTGACAAAGGAAAATAAGAAGGAATTGGGAAAGAAGTATCTGTTAGTGTGAAGGCTACATATGACAAGTACCAAATGTTTCCTGATTCAGCAAAATTAACAATTTATTGTATAGAAAACAATTGTCTGCATACAAAGTTTACAGAGATCTGCAACTACAGACAAGCTACCTGAGACTTGGCAGAGCCCTGCCACTTACGGAGAACAGAATTTGCCAAAGAAAATGATGTTTCGTGTTTTGTTGTGTCTGATGATATAGATGAATGGGTGGTCAGCATTGAATTCATCCTTGTGCTGCAAAATGCGGGATCCTGGCACCTCAATGGACTCACCACCATCTTCAGTTATTTCTAGGCATACCCTGTGAATCACATTTGATAGGGCCACTCCCTTGGTCTCTGACATGCCAGAGAAATCAGATATGTTTTCATTGAAGAGACTTTTCAGCCCCAGGCTTTCCAGACTGGCCTTGGGATCAATCATCTTTTCCACCTTAAACTTTGGGAGGGAGAGTTTGACTTTGGCATTGGCCATGGTGCTGGGGTTGGTCCACTGCAACAGTGTGTCTGGGTTGAGTTGCTTTTCAATCTGAAGGACAAAATGGAAAAGAACTTAATTTTATTGACTTTTGGTTGTGTGAGAGAGAAAGACAGAGGGGGAAGAGAAAGGGGAAGGAAGGAAGGAAGGAAGGAAGGAAGGAAGGAAGGAAGGAAGGAAAGAAGGAAGGAGAAAGATTTAGCTTGATTAAAAACACAAAGTGCTACTATAAGTCCAGTTTTAAAGAACTTAAATCAACTTTGGTTTGGTTTGGATAACCCAGCAAGTTCCTCATATAGGATCCACCAGCCACCAAATGTCGTCTCTTCCCCACCCCATAGGAAGGCTCTCTCCTGAGCAATGTTTGAGAGCGTGACTTTTATTTGCTTATAGAGTAGGCTTTTCATAAACACACATAGATTATAATGTTACATAGACCACAGTAAAATAAATATAAAATTAGAAGCTTTTGTATAGATCTTCTGATTGTTTATTATAATTTCTTTACAAAGTAGTTCCTATTATCCATGGCCTAGGCTTACCACCAAAGTTAATTAAAAGTTATTCCTTTTCTTTTTTTTTTATGATGGGAACTCAAACTAGCTCTGATCTGCTCTTTAAGACCGCAGGTAATGAGTGCAACCATTTCAACTGCTTTAAAAGATAGATATGCAACGAAGCATAAAATGACTTAGTCATAAAATTCTTCATGGAGCAAATGAAGTTAAATTGCTCCTTGACCTTCCTGTGATTGCACTAAGAATGACAGTACCCTGTCACTAACATGGAACGATGTTTCACCAGTGTTAACTCTCCTGGTGCAAGAGAAAGCCAAGGACGTGGCAAGGTCACGAGCTAATGAAAGTGCATTTTTTAATAGGTAAGGAACAGTTTATTCTTTTATTGGTCTACAATTGTTCTTCAATTAATATTTTCACTTTCACTTGCTACAAATTACTAGGATAAAAAAAAATCACCTTCGTTAACTAGTTTTGTAGCTAATGGGCTACTTGTCCTATTCATTCACCACTTAAGCATGGAATACAGGCCGAGAGCTCTTTTTCCCCTTGAGTTCAAACTCTTGGTCTTCTTGGCATTGACTGATCACGTGACCACCAGCTGGTTACTCGCCTCTCTGACTCCCTTCCTCATTGGTAAGTATGAGCATGGTAATAGTTTCCAATTCTTAGGAATGTCATACGAATTAAATGAGAACACTGTTTGAAGAACTTAGTAGCAACCTTGGCCCCATCGTAAATAAATGTTGGCTGTTTTCACTTTAAAGAAGAAAAGATACAGCATGGACCTCAAAGCCCTGGAAGATGATTGGGCTAGGTGTGTGAGACAGAGATATGGCAGACTTCTCTGAGCCCCCCTGGATTCTACCTCCCACTTCTTTACTAAGTGCCCAGCTGCCTCCTGACCTTTTCCAAGCCTGTGGACTCATCCTCTATGTCCTTGGGTAGCACGATGAGCATACTCAGGTGCTTATTCTGGAAGGGGAGTTCTATGATCTTCGAGTTGATGTCATCGATGTTGCCCAAACAGAACGTGGCCTCTAGATTCATCATCTGTACCGGTTTGGTGTCTGTCTGTTAGAAGAGAAGATTTTCAAAGGATTACTTTTTAATTTACAAAAGGATACATAAATATACACACGTACATACACAACTATATAAATACATATATACAAACATAGATACAGATTTTTATGCTAGAGACAGAAATAAAGATAGAAATGACAACAGAAATGTGAATATACAAACTCCTCTTGTTGGCTTAAGTATGCGGGAGACTCCATACTGTATGCATTCTGTGAAACACTTATGGCTTCCTTTGAAAGTCATTCATGTACTTTATTATCCCATGTGCTCATTATAAAACTATGTCTACTATATTTATATATACATATAAAAGGAAAAATAGGATGATTTGATTCTGTCATATGACAAACAGCAATCAAAATGTGGGAATTAATGTGAGTATGTTAGCAGGCACACGTAATCCCAGCACTCTGTAGGCAGAGGCAGGAGAATCACAAATCGAAGGCAAGCCTGTGCCACATAGCAAACTCAAAGCTGGTTTGTTCTACATAGAAATACCGTGTCTTAAAAAACATAGACTGAAGACAGAGCTCAGGAGTATAGCATTTGCCTAGCAAGTGCAAAGCTCTGGTTTCAACATTTTAGCAACACACACACACACACACACACACACAGGAGAAGAGACAATGAGCGAGGGAGAGAAAAATGTATAAAATTATTTTCAAACTATGTCTCTAGTATGTATATAAAATATAAACAAATTTCTTAGATTTGGGTTCAACTCCCAAGATAATTGATTAAATAAATGGAAATATTACAAAATCTAAAAAAAAAAAAAGTCTTAACCCAGAACCATTTCTTCTCACAAGCATTTAGGAAAATAGGTGAATAGGTGTATATAACTTGTAGATCTATAAGTAATTATTCAGAATAGAAATCACATAAAGATCTTACTATAACTTCATCATTGTAGTCTAGCCCTTAAAGGAGACACCAAGGGACATGAGAAACAGTTTAGTACCATTTCTCAAAACATTCAGTGACTGGCAAATGTGGTTTTCAAATGAGAGAATTAATAGGATGTATTCAAAAGGAGTGTGTTTCCCCATGTGGCCAGAGTCAAATTTAACTGCCTGTTAGGCAGACCCTGAACTACATGACATCAACCCTGCTCATGGTCTAGGTTTCCAGGCTCTGAAGTCACCTGACTTTAGGAATAAAAGGAGAGCACGCATCCTCCCTCTCCCTTCAGAAACATGCTTTGGCACTTCCACAGATATAAAAACTACAGATCTTAACATGACCAAAACCCAAGTCCCACCCACGGGCATTTCATGAAGTGACCCCGGGGGGAATTCACAAGAGACACCATGAGCCACATGCCTGAGATTTCCCTCATACTCTGGGACCCTTTGCCTGTCCCAGGGAGGAGTGTCAACCATCAATCAAATGAACCGTGTCATCCTGACATGACTGACAGTGGGGTGACCCCTGCCCCTGTGATAGCAGAGGCTGCAAAGTACATGCTGCCCCAGCTCGCAATGACAGACAGCACTACGAATGTCCGGAGCCATGCCAAAAGACTGCGGGTGGACTTGCAGTGTCTAAGGTGTCTACAGTGTGACAGCTGTCAACGACACACATCTGGTGGGCAGCCAGTCCTGTCCCTAGCTGTTGGGTAAGTCCAAGGCAGTCAAAAGTTCAAGGAGAGAAAATGTAAGAAGAATCATCTGCCCACTCAGCCAGCACCCTGGGAGATACTGCATCCATTAGGAGCAGTAACAGCATTTCTACCTCCCTGAACTACTATGCAATCACGGACTGTCGTGTTTTATCTTTTGGGCTGAGGATGCAGCTCAGTGTGTTAAATGCTTGCCTGGCATGCACAAAGCTCTGGTTTGAATACATGGCAATACAAGAACCAAGTGTCGTGGTGCAGGCCTGCAACCCCAGCATTGAAGACGTGGAGGCAAGAGAGTCATTTGGGGGTATAAAGTTAGAGTCGAGCCTGGACTACATGAGGCTGTCTCAAAAAAATCAGGGCTGACCTTTGAAAATTGATTGATTATTCACCCAAAAGTATGCAGATTGCTTAGCTGTAAGACACTGTAGGCACTGAGGTAAGAAGGCACAGCCCTAACCTTACAAAGTCCGGGCACTAATGGAGGAAATAGGAAAGCAAATTTGTCTTAAGAAAAGTGCATTTGGGGTGAGTGGAGTAGGAACATAAAGTCTGTGGGAGAAATTGGGGAATTATGGAAGCCACTCTAGCTAACCTGGGCCACATTGGTATCTGAAAGTGATTTTCTCCTGGGTTCTAGCATGAAGAACCTGAGAGTAGATAAGTCATGGGGCCAGGCAAACACCCACTACTACTGCCCCAAAAACAAGCTTCTAATTCTTTCTATAAAGACTCCTGGTAATGTAGATGAGTAAAGCTATGTTGTTTTTTTTTTCTTCATAGTCAACCAATGCCTCAAAGCATATTTTAAATGCTCTAGGCTGGGCTGGGGAGGGGTGGGGCTGGGCTGGGCTAGGCTGGGCTCTACCAAAGGGGGAAGGAAGGTTTTAATCAATAGCTAAGCGAGAAATGAGAAAAAAGTGAAGTGACTATGTAATCCACCATATAAACAAACTGAAAGAAAAAATGATCATCTCATAAGATGCTGAAAAAGCCTTTGACAAAATCCAATCAATACCTATCAAAATCTCAATATAATTCTTCATAGACCTCAAAAGAACAATACTCAACTTCATATGGAGGGGGAAGAAACAAGATAGCCAAAATAATCTGTACAATAAAGGAACTTCTGGAGGCATCACCTGACTTCAAACTCTATTTCTATTCTATTCTACTGTAATGAAAACAGCTTGGTATTGGCATAAAAACAGACAGGTGAGCCAATGGAATCAAATTGAAGACCCTGAACATCTGATTTTTGACAAATACACTAAAATTCTTCAATGGAAAAAAGAAAACATCTTCCTCAAACAATGCTGGCATAACTGGGGGTCAGCATGTAGAAAAATGCAGATAAATCCGCATCTATTGCTGTGCACAAAATTCAAGTCCAAGTGGATCAAAGACCTCAACATAAACCCAACCACACTGACCCTCATAGAAGAGAAAGTAAGAAGTACCCTTAAATACATTAACATAGGAGAACACTTCTTAAGTATAACACCAGTAGCATAGATACTGAGAACAACTATTAATAAAAGGGACCTTCTTAAACTAAGATGCTTCTGTAAGGCAAAGGACATGGTCAACAAGGTAAAATAGCACCTACAGAATGGGAAAAGATCTTCACTAACCCCACATCTGACAGACAGCTGATATACAAAATATACAAAGAACTCAGAAAACTAGACACCAAAATACCAAATAATCCAATTTTTAAAATGGGGTACAAATCTAAACAGAATTCTCAAGAGAAGAAACTCAAATGGCTGAGAGACATTTAAGGAATAGCTCAACATCCTTAGCCATCTGTCAGAATGGCCAAGATGAAAAACACTGATGACAGCTTATGCTGGAGAGAATGTGGAGTAAGAGGAACACTCCTCCAAACTTGTACAGCCATTTTGGAAATTAGTATGGCTGTTTCTCAGAAAACTGGGAATCAGCCTACCTCAAGACCCAAAAATACCATTTTTGGACATATACCCAAGACATGCATACTCATACCAAAAGGACATTTGCTCAACTAAGTTCATAGCAGCATTATTCATAATAGCCAGAACACGAAAACAACCTAGATGTCCCTCAAGGGAAGAATGGATAAGAAAAATGTGGTATATTTACACAATGAAGTACTACTCAGCAGTATAAAAACAATGATGTCTTGATGTTCGCAGGCAAATGGATGAAACTAGAAGAAACCATCATGAGTGAGGTAACCCCCAAACCAAGAAAGACAAATATGGTATGTACTCACTCATAAGTGGTTATTAGGCAAGGAGCAAAGGATACCCAGCCTACAATCCACAACCCCAGAGAAGCTAGGAAACAAGGAGGAGCCAAAGAGAAACATACATGGACCCCCAAAAAGGAGAAAGGGACAAGATCTCCTCAGTGAATTTGGAGTATGGGAGGGAGAGTGACAGGAGATGTCATTCTGTAAATATGTTTCTCGTATTGGTTAATGAATAAAGCCCTGTTGACCAATAGGAAAGCAAGATAGGCTAGGAGACCAGGAGGATTCAAGGAGAGGTAGGAGGAGATTCAAAATTGTCATCATAGGACATTTATCCAGTAACTGATGGAAGCAGATGCAGAAATCCATAGCTTAAGCACTGGCCTGAGCTCCAGGAGTCCAGTAGAAGAGAGGGAGGATTGATAATACGAGCAAAGGGGTCAAGACCAGGATTGAGAAACCCACAGAAACAGCTGACCTGAGCTAGGCCCCCTGAATGCAGGTGACAGTGGGTAGCCTGGGCAGTTTGTGAGGCCAGGATCTTTCACTTGTACATGAATTAGCTTTTTGGGGCACATTTCCTGCTCAGCTTAGACACAGGGGGTCCTTTCTCAACTTTGTTAACTCCCCATAGGAGGCCTTACCCTATCTGAGGAGCAAATATAGAATGGGAGGAGGGGGAGCAGAGGGTATCAGTATCGGGAGGAAGGATGGAGGAAGAACTGGGATTAGTGTGTAAAATAAAATAAGTAAAGGGACTGGATCAGGAATTCCTAACTGCTCTAACTTTCCTGATAACACAAAGGCCTTCAGAGTAGTTTCTATGTTTCCTTCCTTTCCTTTTCCCTCCTTTGATTTCTGGAAGTCTTTGTCCACGCTGAGAGCCATCCATGTGCCCTTCTCCACTGCCATGACTTTGAAACGTACTTCCTACTTCATGCTGCACATACCTTGTTGACTCTGAATGGACACTCTCTTGTTTCTGATTCAGGAAATTTCTTCATCCACTTTCCAACAAAGTAGGCGGCATTAACCACGAGGACTTTGGTCTGGTCACTTACACTGTTCTCCGATAAAATGTTCTCGAAGTGGCCTGTAAATGATTATAGAAAACCAGACATTGCACTCATTCATTGACATTGCCTGCTGCTGCAGGCTTGTTTGCTTACTGGGCATCAATGTCACACCAGGAAGGACTGGGAGCCGAGGCTGTTCAATCTAGAATTGTTTCTGTTCTCCTGCCACGCCAGACCAGACATCTCAGAGAGAAGAAAGCCCTTTCTGACACTCAGCCTGAGCAAACTGAGTAGACATGAGCTTCTTCACGACTGGCTGTGCTCAGCATTTCCACACACACACTGCCTCACTGTTTTCTACTTACAGTTGAGAAAACCGATGTTCAGAGGGGTCAATGGCTGCCCTACTGTGCTCAGATGAGAAGTACAACTGATATTCAGAGGGGTCAATGGCTGCCCTACTGTGCTCAGATGAGAAGTACAACTGATATTCAGAGGGGTCAATGGCTGCCCTACTGTGCTCAGATGAGAAGTACAACTGATATTCAGAGGGGTCAATAGTTGCCCTACTGTGCTCAGATGAGAAGTACCACTTTCCCTACAATTCTATACTGCTTTCCCCAGCTCACTCTTTGTAGTCAGCTGATGGACTCAAGGTCAACTGTAACATCCACAGGTTCGATCACAGCTATAATTACCCTAGAACTTAAATCAACCTCAACAGCCTACAGAGCACAACCATGAAACCCCCTTAATAAAAGCCTCTATTTTGAATGGCACCTAGCATTTTTGCAAAGAGCTGTCCTTTACCTAATCTTTAATTTTCATGTAATGCCCAGTGTTCTGCCATCGCCGCCTTAAGAGGTGGGCATCATTTATGAGGAAGTATTCAAATGGGTTGCCATGCTGTGCACTCTCAAGAGAAGTGTCTCCTCACCCCCAGCAGCGTAGCCCTCCACAGCCAGCAGGGACTGCCAGTCCTTCATAATTACTTTCTATTTCCCAAAGGCTCCCCCTGTGCAAACACTATAAACACATCTCTAGGAAAGGAGAGCTAGTTACTATGCAATCCAAGCCATCTGAGTTCCAATTCTTTCTTGGCAAGTAAGACAACTCACAGGGACGTTTAATGAGGGAGGTGAAGTAAGGGCAAAGAGGGGGCTGAGAAGGAAACAGAGGGTGTGAGACTGGGGGACAAACATCCACTATGATTGCTAGATTTGGCTTTGTTCTAGATTTACATTTGTCTAAGACTTTTTGTCTTTTTTTTTTTTTTCTTTCTTTCTTTTTCAGTTTTGATAAAGCTGTAAAAATTTTTTGTTGGGAGTACATTCAAGGATCATCTTTCCATTTCCAGTCTTAAAACCTAGCTTCCTGATTTGCCAGAAGCCACATTACAAAAGGAACAGCTGGGCCCCTACCAGGGCATGTGGCAGCTTGTCAGAGAGCAATGCAAAGCATGCTAAAACAAAGCTCACAATTTCCCAAGTAATGAGTTGATACAGGAAATGCCCAGAAACTTAAGTTGTTGACATGGCTTGATGGGTAAAGAATTTAGCTTATATACTAAAAATATCCAAGGAAGCTTCCAGATGTTAAATGTGTTTAGGCTTGGAGCAAGGATTCTTGAGCAGGGAGGCCTCTTTACTCAGTTCATAGAAAAACACTAAAGAGTACTTACCATCTGTGAGCTCCTTAACAGAGCTATTAATTTGACCCTTTGTTTCTTCCAGTTTATCTTTGAAGTCGACAGTTTCCAATTCTTTTGCATATGGTCTTTTTGTAGAACTGATAAATTCCTGAAAAACATCCAGTTCACAAAGTCACAAAGCTTTGTAGATGTAGTATGACATGGTACTAAAAAACAAATTCCTTATGTGTCTATTACTGTGCATACATTTTCAAAAGTTGGTCACACTATATGAAGCCTCATGTAGAAATAAGTATTTTTGTATTAAATGTTTTATTTCTTCAATTATGACATATCAATTATTAAATTATCAATTGGCTATCTGCTCTGTCAAAAACAAAAGAAACTACACTATATATATAAAGTATAAATCCTAATTATTTCAAAAATATTTATTTATATTTTATATGCATGATATAAACATGTAGTTGTGGTTTTAATCTAAAACACTTACACTCTTAGTTCTCAGCTTGTGGCACTATTTTGAGATTTTTCTATAAACTTTGGGAAATAGGATCTAACTGGAGGACAATGGGGACAATGGTCACTGGGGTCCTTGGAGCTAATATATCACTGCCACTTCCTGTCGCCCTCTACTTCCTGGTCCTTCCTGATGTGAACATCTGTCTTCTGCCACATGTTCCTACTGACATGCTATCTGCCCAAGCGAATGGGAACAGGCAGTCACAGACTTCTGAAACTTAGAGGCAAAATAAGTCTCTCTTCCATTAAGTTGTTTCTAGAAGGTATGTTATCACACCAACAAGAACAAACGATGAACACATGTGTCAAAAATAACGAAACAGCAATGAAAACAATAAGAAATTCCTTATCTTTGCAAAAATAAATGAATATTCTTTAGCGTCCTGACACTCAAAATATGGTCCAAAGATCAGAAGTCAAGCATCACTTGAGACACCTTGTTAGAATGAACTCCCAGGCCCCTAGATATACTGATTTAGACCATGCACTGTAGCAAGATTTCCAGGAGTTTCCCCTGCACATTGAGGTGGGAAACACAGGGATATAAAGAAATAGCAGTGAGTCTAACTTTAATTCATGTTTAAAATGCAAACCCTACCCACACTGATCTTGATGCAAGAGATCTGAGGCTATGGACTTAGTCTTAAAACAAGCACTTGGGGGGTTTAAATTCAGGTGATGCTCCGCAGAGCACATTTGTTTGTACTATTAACTAATAGATGTGAAAGTACTACATAGTAGGAGAAGCAATGAAAAACACAAAAAGAGAAAGAGAAAGGGAAGGGGGAAGAGAAGGGAAGGAGAGAGAGGGAGAAGAAGGGGAAGGAAGGAATGAGAAAGGTAAAGAGGGAGGGAGGGAGGGAAGAGGGGAGGGGAGAGGAGGGGGAGGGGGAGGAGAAGGAAGGGAAGGGGAAAGGGGAGGGAAGAGGAGGGGAGGAGAAGGGAGGGGAAGGGAGGGGAGAGGGGAGGGGAGAGGAGGGGAGGGGAAGGGGAGGGGCTAGGAGGGGAGGGGAAAGGGGAGGGGATGAGAAAGGAGTGGAGGGGAAGGGAGAGGAGAGGAGGGGAGGGGAGAGAAGAGGAGAGGAAGGGGAAAGAGGAGGGAAGAGGAGGGGAGGGGAGAGGGGAGGGGAGGGGAGAGGAGGGGAGGAGAAGGAAGGGAAGGGGAAAGGGGAGGAAAGAGGAGGGGAGAGAAGGGGAGGGGACGACGGGAGGGGAGAGGAGGGAAGAGGGGAGAGGAGGGGAAAGGGAGGGGATAGGAGGGGAGGGGAGGGGAAAGGGGAGAGGGGAGGGAAGAGGAGGGGAGAGGGGAGAGGAGGGGAGGAGATGAGAAAGGAGTGAAGGGGAAGGGAGGGGAGAGGAGGGGAGGAAAGGGAAGGGAAGGGGGGAGGGGATAGGGGAGGGGAGAAGTGAGGAGGGGAGAGGTGAGGAGAGAGGAGAGGAGTGGAGGGGGAAAGGGAAAAGAAGAAATGAAAGAAAGGAAGGGAAGGGTGGAATAGGGAAGAAAATGAGGAAAGGGAAAGAGAGGGGAAGAGAAAAAGAAGGAAAAGAAAAATTTCACAGAAGCAATTCTAACTGTAGAATGGAAGTCCAACCAAGCTAACATGACTTGGATGCCACGTCACTCTGTCCTTGAATTCCTTCCTTATAGCAACACTGTAAGCCAGCTAACAGCTCCAGGTAACTGAAAGCCAACCATGGACTGATGGAGGCAGCCGGCCTAAGTCAGTACCTAAGACCATCAGAAAGATTGCAAATGAAAAGCCTCCGCTCTCAACAACAACACATCTTTAAGCATCACTTGGGGAGCTTTTAACATGTTTCCATGCCCAGCTGAAACTCTCATCTCAATGTTCTTTAATTTCCTAGGTGACGGTTGGAACAAAAATAGTGGTGCATATGTGTCTTCAAGCCACTAGGGTAAAGTCACAACAATAGCTAGTAACTTAGTTGTCAAAGATCTCTCACACAAACAAACATGGAATGTAGAACACTGTCATGCTGTGGGGGGGGGGGGGGGGGACATTTAGCTTAGCAATCTAGAAGGTTGAAATTGTGACCACAGAAACAGGAGCTGAGTCGGTTCTACATTACCAGAGAAGGGAATGTCCTGCTATCAAGAATGTTGGTTACATGTCAAAATAAAGATCTTAAAAATATGATGCTAGACACTGGGGTCTAACAAGAGGGGACCCCAATGCTCTTCACATGGCTGCTTCAAGAAATGTCTTGGTTTAAATGGCTACAGAAGCTTTGTACAGTGTCCTTCCAACTAGTCTAGGAAAACAGCACCGACTCACATCTAATGAAAACTGGTCATTGTGGTGGTTATTTTCTTACTGATTCTAAAAGCTATCTGATCCATCAGAAAAGTGAGTTAGGAAGTACAAGACACCCTCAGGCCATCGCTCTGAGCCCCTTACGGAGATCCACGGACTAGATAGTTGGCCCTTCCATTATCCCTTCTCTCCAAAGGAAGTAAGGGTGGGGGACAAGCTTTTCTGTATTTCTAGCCAGATGTAACCCTGTTTCATCTGCCAACATCCAACATCTGCAGTGGAGCTTCTTTCCTTTCAAAAGCCTCAAACTATCTGACATTGTGAGAGAACCATCCTGGGACAAGCTGTGGCCTGCAGGGAAAAATGACCTTCCGGAACAGCGTACAACAGGGCTGTTATAAACAACTTACTGTAGAAGGGTTCAGAGATTTGTCTATGTAGAGTCGCTTGATGAGTTTCAAAGCATAAAAGGAACTGAGCTTATTTACATCAGAAGTGACTGTTTGAAACCCAAAGGGTACATCCTTGACGTTCTCAAAATGAAGCACCTGTTAGAAAAAAAAAAATCCATTATCAAAAACAAAAATAAAACAAAACAAAACATTGGTCTGGGGGTTGAGGAGATGCAGTGCTCTGCCTTGAACTGGATCCCCAGATCCCATGTTCTAAAAAAGAAAGGAACGAAGTGGGCGGGGGGGGGGGGGGCAGGGAGAGAGGGAGGAGGGAGGGAGAGGAGGAAGGGAGGGATGAAGGGAAGGATGAAGAAAAGAAGGAAGGAAGAAAGAAAGAAAAAAGAAAGGAAGGAAGGAAGGAAGGAAGAAAGAAAGAAAGAAAGAAAGAAAGAAAGAAAGAAAGAAAGAGAAAGAAAGAAAATAAACCAGAAAGAAAATAAACCCAGGCATTGGTAGTCCCTCCCTATCTATGCCAGCATTTGGTCTGGACCAGTCTTATTGAGGTCTTGGGCAGATAAGCACCGCTGCTGGGAGTTTATGGGTGCTCTAACCATGTCAAGTCCAGAAGTTGCATTTCACAGCACTTCTCCACATCCTCTGTGTCTTACACTCTTTCTGCCTCCTCTTCCACATTTTCTGAGCCTTCACGTTGCAAGGGCAAGAGAAGTCAAGAAAGATGTCCCATTTGTACTGAGTAATCTGTCTCTTATATCAAAACTCTGACCAACTATGCATCTCAGCCCTGGCTGCTGCCCACTGCAAAAGGGGATTCTCAGAGCTGAGAGAACACATAGCCACCGGCACGTTTCCCATGCCTCAATGGATAGCCTCTCACCTACACACATATAGGCAGCATTAACTGGACGGAGTAGATTACCAGGGGAAAAGACACGAAGTTTGGTAAAGGCCATGTTGAGGGGGATTTGAAAGCAGTTAGAAAGGTTAAATGGGGATGGGTATGATCATGTTTCATTGTATACATATATTAAAGTTCTCAAGAATTAAGAAAAATTAATGCTTATAAAAGGCCAGCTGTGCTGGTAAAAACAGATATATCGCATGCACTGAAATATCTTCTTGTGGTTGAGGGATAGCCACCCCCCGCCCCAGCCCTTGCAGGCCTCTGGACAAAGAGATGAGCAGTGAAGAGGGGAAGCTGAGTGTTTAGCATATGGAGATGAGTTCAAATAGGAAAATACAACCCCTCTGGCCAGGACTGAAGTAGTCTCCTCTGCCTCACAGTCTCATCCTGACCTAGCCAACATGTATGAGTCATAATGGTGTGGATACTGATGATTTTTAAATAGCAATAAATTTGTATAAAAGAAAGGGTTTTTTTTAACCTTACATCAATCTGCATAAAGAAAATAATAGAACTGAATTGGAGCTACGAACTTGTAAAGTCCTGAAACAGCAGTCAAGGAAATCAGCTCAGTTGAAGGTCCAAAACGTTACAAAACTAATCAAGCATAGCCCAAAAGAAACTCAGAAACATCTATATACATATGTATGTGTTTGCCCGGGGAAATTCGCTTTAGTCCATGTCTCTCAAGTAAGATAATCAAGCCTCCAGGGTTCTAAAACATATGTGCATGCAATTTATTTGATCTATTCCAGTTTGAAAGCAGATCATTTAAAATGTTACTTCTGAGATTGGAAATACTCTAGGGTAGAATGCAATTGAGCTCACATCTTAATATTAAGTTTGATGTTCTAAATAAAGTGTGTGTTCTTTATTAATAAAGTGTGTGCTTCCTTCTCTGAATATAGGGCAGGGGGCAGGGGACAACTTTTCCCATTTACTAAGAGTATGTGCAATGGAGTATTAATAAGTCATTGATCCATCTTCAAACATGCCAGGTGAGAGACGTTGTGTGACCTGCTGACAGACACTGGGGAATGGCAGGAACACCTGTCAAATCCCCATATTCTCCATCCAACCTGGTACCCAGTCTAAATATAGACCATGCTACCCATCAGTGAGCGTTCACATTTAGAGTAGACAGAAAAGGCCTGGGGATGGCGTAGCTCTCAGTCCTGAATAGTGCCAGCCACTCGTTTGCTATCTTAGACTATGAATTCCAGGAATTATCCCCTTTCAAAGTCTAGACAAGCACGGGCAGCTTACCTGAACAATTTCATTTGCTGTGTCACCTTTGGTACCCACTTGAGCAAGCGACAGGGAAGTTGAGAGACATATTGGAGAGAAGAGGATGTTTCCCAGTGGCTCCTTCTCACATAGCTGTTTGAACAAGTCAACAGCAAAAGCTGAATTTGCCAGTCTCAGGGCATCCATCGTGGGCCTGAAACCAAGCACAAAATTTAATTTCGATACAAAGTGTTTTCCCAGCTACATCCTGCCAACAGCAATAAGAGTTCTACTTCTGGGAAGCAATGATCTTGGGCTGGAGACAAGAAGAAACTTTTGGTAAATTCCAAAACAAAGGCAGGCGTGAAGAAACCTCTGGGCAAATGTCTTGAGGCACATGGTGTCTTCTGTGTGTGCTGTTCTCCACATCTCACGTTCTGCTTAGCCACTGTGACCAGCATCAGGTGGCCAGCCATGGTGCCACTCCTCAGCAAGTGACCAGAGCAGCTGGCAGCATTAGCAAAACTCAGTTCCCTTGTGTTGGTTTATTTGCTTGGGGTTATTTTTTAGGGTTTTTTGTTTGTTTGGGGGGAGTTGTTTGTTTGTTTGCTTGCTTGCTTTTGGTTTTACTAGACAGGGTTTCTCTGTGTAACAGCCCTGGTTATCCTGGAAGTCACTTTGTAGACCAGGCTGGCCTTGAACTCATGGAGATCGGACTGCCTTTGCCTCCCGAGTGCTAGGATTAAAGGCATGCACCTCCACTGCTAAGCTTAAAACTCTTAATTTTATAAGCACATATTCCAATTAATATTTGGTTAAATCATGCAAAATAGTAATTTGTATATCAAAAAGTAATTGTATCACTTTTGTGTTGTTCTATTTAATATTTATTAAGTGTATAAATTTGTCCTCAAAAAAAAGAATCACTGAATTCCTAATTCTTAATACTATGAATTTAACATTGTTTGGAAGTAGGTCTCTTCCATTTTAACTAATTAAACTGGGGTCACATTAGAGTTAGATGGGGCTAATCCAATGTGACAAGTGTCTTTCCAAGAACAGAAAAGAAAATACAGATACAGATGCACAAAAATGAAAGATAACAGGTATACATACAGAGAGCAAACCATTACATATCTTGAGCAGGATGTGTATGCCAAGGTTAGAGACATAGTTTTAGTACTCGAGGTCAAAGGCTTCCTTAGCCAGGCCCCACAAGTGTGTTAGAGTCAAGTACATAGACAGAATTACAAGCATCTTAGACCTAAACAGAAATTACAAATGCAAAGACAAGAGAATAAAATCAAGAAGCAAATTCTTGGTGTGATCGGTGTTCAGAATTCTCTTTAGAGGGTTATATGTAGACGGAAGACAGGTGGGTTTGGATGTAGTTAACCCTGACAATTTAACCCACAACCACAACTCAACATGAGTGTGAATGAGTCTGAAATGATGAACTATTTTCTCACTGAACAGAGAAACCTAAACTCAGATCCCTGCAAAGTTTTCAATACTTCATCTAGGAAGCATGCCAAAGTGCAAGGAAATGTTCAGCCTGCCTCTCATTAGTTACAGCATGCTGAGACTCATTGAACCCAAATGACTCTGTACACAGACTCACTCAACTTTTAATAAGGCTAATTACAAAGTACATCAGTGCTATATTGCAATGTGAGGCTTGGATCCAGGTTTTGGTTGGAAAATGTAAATGGATGCACACTTGACAGGCAGCATGGCTCCTTCCTATCAGCCAGACCTTCCCTTCCACAGAGGACCTTCTTCTGCATGGTAGCTTCAGCACTGGAAGTCCAAACCCACCTGTCTGCCTGACAACTGGCTCCTTGTTCAGAAAATTCTCCTTGGCTGTGAAGAAAGTCAGCAGCCCTTGATGTGTAAGGTCCCTACAGCACAATTGCCTGATACAGCCCAAAGGTGTCAAATGCAAGATCTGCACATAAATGAACAGTGTTGTAGTGGTGTGATAGATCTTCTTCACTGTGGACTCGTGTAGTTTAGAATCATCACATAGAAGCAAATCTCTGAGCATGCCTGTGAGGTAAGGTAGAGGACTGACTACCTAACTACCTGGCACTTTTCTAGGTGCCAGGGTCCCAGACCTAGCAAAACAGGGAAAGCCAGTTGGGCGTAAACATCTGTCACATTGTTTCCTGACTTACATATTCACAATGTGGCCAGCCTCCCCACCCTGCCCCACCCCTGCTGATGTTCCCAGGCTGTCCCTCCTGCAACTGAAAGACAAAGGAAACGCATCCTTCCTTAAGTTGCTTGCCTCATGCATTTTGTCACTAGATGAGTGACAAACTGCCATCAATTCAGAAATCAACCAATTATCAAATGGAAAAATCACATCAGTGGTTCTGTGATTTGTCCCCAGTGACCTAGAAACATGGTAAATGTGGTGCTGTCTGAGAAAGCTTGAGAGACGTCTATGAATATGGTCAACTGGCACCTCCCCATGTTGTAAGACAAGGAATTTAAGCAAATCTCAGACATGTGGACAGTAACACCCAGAAAAACAGTGTGAAGCTCCTCCATAGGACACTTTGTACAAGCAAATTCTATTCTAAAACTATTTAAAAATGTGTAAGTGCTACATCTAGGATAATTAAGCCCATGCAGCAAGTTTACGTGTGTGAAAGTTTGCACTGGAAACGCTAAATTCAGTTCAATTGTTTCCGGTTTAATATCACCTTTCGCAAGGTTGTCTTCTTTCATTTGTATGAAAATCCAAGAATTTTTCTTAACGATACTCTTCAGGGTGGAGAGATGACTCAGCCATTAAATGCCAGGCTCACAACCAAAGTACAAAAAGATACTATTCTATTTTACCCAAACTGCACCTTTCAAAGCCACACAGCACTAACTTTCATCTTGACAGGAGGAATGTCGGATGACTCCTCAAGCAGTAATACAAATGCAGTTTTCAAGAATTGACAGCTCTTTGACTAGGGGATTAAACCCCCTAACAGGTTACTCAACACCAAGCTGGCCAGCCCTGACATCATAAACACACAAGCAACACTGAAGATTCAATGGGTTGCCCTTAAATGTTTATGTGTTTATAAAAAGAAACCGAAACTTGGAGAGGAAGTGGGAAGGGGGAAAGAAGGGTCGAACTGAGGAAAGGGAGGGGGGAAATGATGTGATTGTGCTTTAATTAATTTTTTCAACTCTAAAGAAAAATGAGAACTCAAAGTTCCTGCAGTTCTGCGCTGAGGCATTGTATAATCATAAACCTTCAATATGGAACAAGATCTTGCAGCAGGATCTAGCCCGGCCCTGCCTCTTCACTTTGCAAATGAGTGAAGGAAGATGGAGTGATTCTCCCAGGCCACCCACGCAGGGAGTGAAAGTAGCAAGGCCAAGCCTAGAATTCACTTCTTCTGGCTCCAGCCCAGTCCCTCCCCACCACACCTCCTCCCTTTCTTTCTTCATAATTGGGTTTTTGCCACCATTTGCTTTTCTGAAGTTTCTCAGGTTCCAAAAACCCTGTATCCTAAATGATCCCCTTCAAAGATCCCCAGGTTTCCTCTGTGTGTAGGAGGGATATTGCTTATGTTTGGGTTTCATGGTTGTTTGTTTTCTCAGTTGGCTGCTATTAATAACATGGGACTATTCCCCTAAGATTTTCCTACTTGAGAAAGTTCTGGTTCCTTTCTGCCTCTGATGTTCCAAGCTGCCAATGTTTTGATTTTTTTCATTCTATACGGTGTGAGCACCTAACTCAAGCCAGGGAGAAGTAGGCATTAAGAATTCCAAGGTGGGGCTGGAGAGATGGCTCAGCCATTAAAGGCTAGGCTCACAACCAAAGATATAGGAATTCCAAGGTGGGGGTACAGAGAGATGAGATCGCTCAGTGGTTAAGACCCATGCTGCTCTTCCAGAAGAACAGGGCTTGACTCCCAGCACCCACAAGGTGGCTCATAACCATGTGTAACTCCAGTTCCAGGGGATTTAATGGCCTCTGCGGGTACTACATTCATGTGTCACACAGACATACATGCAGACAAAACACCCATACACATAAAATAAAAATAAATAAATGAAAATAACTGAGGGAAAGGCATCCCAAGGCGCACACATCCTAGGTTCTGCCTCAACCTAGCAGCTATCAGCTAGTGTGATCACATGTACTGGTTACCACGGGAACTCTCAGCAACACCTCACCCTAGAGGAAATCTCAGTGACACCTTTTGAGAAGCATTGACATTGTCATGAGTCATACTAAAAGGATAAGAAGGACTCACTCAGACAAAAGTGGAGGCCAGAGAATTGAAACAGATGAACAGAGCCACGCTTACGGATGGGTGTGAGGATAAGGTTTAGAGTGTAGTAAGGAATCATGCTAGTCCAACAACATGAGACTGTAGATTCCATCCTAAGGCCTATGACCTCACTAACCCAGGACCAGGCGTGGCTTCCATCCTGTTGAGTGGCCTCTGGTCCAGTTAGACAGCTGCTGGTTATCACTGACACATGAGGGCCACTGCCTGCACCTTTTGCATGCCTTGCCATGCTGGTGATTGTCGTGGTTCACAGGTATGACTGCTGGAGAGGACTGTTTAACAGCTTCTCTCCCTCATCAGCTTGCACAGTATTTTCTGGAGCCATGGAAGCCAGGCTGCAGGAAAGAGCATTCCGGTCAGATCCAGCTCCAGTTTTGAGTCATGTCTTAAGTGTATATAGGACCTTCAGCAATAGGGGTCCATCCTCAACCCTCCTAGGGAAAAAAGGCTAAGCCAATTATGGATATGGTTCTGGGAGTTGCTTGGACTACACTGACCAACACTTTGAAAGGTTTCTTGTTCTGACGAAGGACTTCTTGTCCTTTTTTGTTAGTTTATTGTTCATGTGGGGAGCATTGTCAGTCCAAGTGGTTTAACTTCCTTTAAGATAGACAGATGAGGGGCTAGAGAGATGGGAGCATTAGCCACTCCTCCAGAGGTCCTGAGTTCAATCCCCAGCAACCACATGGTGGCATGCAACCATCTATAGTGATATCTACTGCCCTCTTCTGGCCTGCAGGCACACATGCAGACAGAACACTGTATACATAATAAATAAATCTTAAATAAACAAATAAGGTCATCTTTATAAAAAAGATTATAGAATGAACGATGGATAGATGATATATCCATAAATATGCACACACACTTATATGATTGTATATAATTTTAAGTAAATATAAA